AGGAGTAGCATCCTGTCACTGAACATACTCCTCTGGTTGTTAATGACAGTGTCAGTTCTGGATTTGAGGAGTAGCATCCTGTCACTGAACATACTCCTCTGGTTGTTAATGACGGTGTCAGTTCTGGTTTTGAGGAGTAGCATCCTGTCACTGAACATACTCCTCTGGTTGTTAATGACAGTGTGCAGAGGTTGCCTTTCATTATCCATAATGGCCAGCAGTTTGTTCAGAGTCCTTTCCTCTGACACTGTGGCCAGAGTGTCCAGCTTTATGCCGACAACAGACCCAGCCTTCCTGATCAGTTTTTCCAGCCTGGATGAGTCCCTTTTTTACTGTGCCGCTACCCCAATACACCACACTGAAGAAATGGACGCTGCTCACCAGAGACTGGTAAAACATACACAGGAGCTTCCTGAAGATGTTATAGGACCGCAGCCTCCTCAGGAAGTACAGCCTGCTTTAGCCCTTTTTGTACAAGTGCTAGGTGTTGTATGGCCAGGCCAGTTTATTGTCCACCCTATATATAATAATGAAAAATGTATGTAAAATTTATTATATATTAATTTATTACACATCAGGGCAGATGTGCTCTTGTTCTGAAGGCTTGTTCGACTTCCAGTTATAGTGTTTTTTGGTTATCTTGGCGGCAACCGGATCTTGCTCTCTCGGTTTTCTTCTCTTTGTTGTTAATAAAAAGTGCTTCATCCCTTTCATGGACTAAGCATCTGCCTCCTGTCTTTTTCCTCTCGCCACAAGTTAACATTTTGGGTGGCACAGTGGTTAGTGCTGTTGCCTCACAGCAAGAAGGTTCCAGGTTCGGGTCAGGCGTAGGTCCTTTCTGTGTGGAGTTCACATGCTCTCCCCGTGTTCGCGTGGGTTTTCGCCGGGAGCTCCGGTTTCCTCCCATGGTCCAAAAACGTGCAGGACAGGTTGATTGGCGAGTCTAAATTGGCCTTGTAATTGTGCCCTGCGGTGTGTTGGCGACTGGCCAGGGTTGGTTCCCGCCTGCACCTCTTGTTCCCGGGATAGGCTCCAGTCCCCCCGCGACCCCGGTTGGGATTAAGCAGTTACAGGGATGGATGGTTAATATTTTTATAATTTTAGAAAATTTCAAATTGTCACCTTTTCGCAGTGTATATTGGAAACAAAATGAAGCAGTCAAAATAACAAAGCATACCTGGATATAACTGATATTGATCCATATTAAACAACAGCAGGACACTCAGCAGACTGATGGCAGTACAAGTAACAGCCTCTTCTGTTGATCCTGAGAAACACCAGTCATAACAGGATAAAATACAATATCCAATGGATCTTGCATGAATAGTAACATGACTGACTGCTTAGATTTAAAATTCTATAATTAGTCAGCAGGTGGTGCTTCCTCTGCTGTTGTAAATATTATGTTTATTATTATTTGAAGTGTATTATCGCTCTCTTTATGCTTTCAGGTAATCAAGAAACTCAGATACTCAATAGCAGTAACAACACAAACCCACACAAAATATTTTCATTCCCAATATAAATAATCTTTGGTGGATACATACCAAAATAAATGTGGTTACAGTAAATGTTGAAGGATTTAAAGATGTGTACAAATCTTAAAGACAAATCAAAACAAATAACCAATGAAAGTAACTCTTCACAGTTATATCTACTCCATCGGTGTACCCAAGGTAAATCTGGTCTCATTTTGTTACCCTAACTAGTTTAGATAATTCATTGTTATTCACTCATACAAACGTTTACTAGTGAAATTCCTGATCATTCCTGGATCTTTAGCCAACTAAACTTCATCAATCCATTTAATTTACTACTGCTGCTCTGTTGTCCATAAAATATTTTTAAATTGTAAAACTCACATAACAGAAATAATTAAAACCAATCTGCTTTTAAATCATTCTTTAAATGAATCAAAATACAAGTATAAACCATATCTAATGGACTCACCTTCAGTTACACCCCACAGGATGAATGCTGAGGAAACCATGACTGATGGAACTGTGACAAGTGACCAGTGCCTCAACAGAGCCTGTCTGCCTTCACCTACAGTGTAGACAGAAAGTAGGACCAAATTAACTGCCTCCAACTCAACGTCAGCAAGACCAAGTAGCTGGTGGTGGACTTCAGCAGGAGGAAGGAGCACTCCTACTCCCCCCTCTACATCAACGGGGCTGCAGTGGAGCGAGTGACCAGTTTCAGATACCTGGGCGTTCGCATCACTGAGGACCTGACATGGACAGAATACACCCAGAGCCAGTGCAGCAAGGCGAGGCAGCGTCTCTACCACCTGAGACAGCTGAACGCATCTCTCCTGGGATCCTGAAGTCGTTCTACTCCGGTGCAGTGGAAAATGTCCTGACCTAGAACATCACGTCCTGGTATGGAAATAGCCGTGTCCAGGACTTAAAGGGACTGCAGATGGTGATTCGGGCAGCAGAGTGCTGCACCAGATCTGCTTTACCGTCTCTGCAGGACATGTACACTATAGGAGATGCTGGAGCACAGCAATTAGGATCATCAAAGACTCGTCTCACCACAGTAACTGTCTTTTCGAGCTGCTAAAATCCAGCAAACGCTTTAGGAATATTATGGCAAAAACAGAGAGACTCAGAGGAGCTTCTATCATCATGCCGTAAGACTTCTCAACCAGGACATGACACCACTACCTCTTAAATATTATACAGCAGATGCATAAACTGCAATATACTTATCAAGGCAAGCTTCAATGCACACTGCACTTTAAATACATTACTTATTTCTGTTCACTGTATATTGCACAACAATCATTTCATCCGTCACCACTTGCCACTTTACACATGTGTGCTGAAGATGCCCTTTTTAATGCAACCCATGCACACTGCACCTTAGATATGCTGCTGTCTCCTGCTGTTAACTGTGAAACGCACATTTACAGTCAATGTACAGAGTTTGTCATGCCCCGATCGTCCGCTCGTTCCGTGTGCCACGCCCCCTCGTTAACCCTGTGTGGATTCCCCGTGTTTACCAGCTGTTCCTGATTGTTGTCATTAGTCCATTGTATTTAGAACGCATTTCCGTTTGTTTCCCCAGTCCATTCATTGTATTGTCAATCTGCTTAACCGCTCATGCGTCAGGACACAGTTGTTCATAGTGCAATCTAAGAGTACTCTTTTTCTTCTTTTTTCTATTTTATTCTATTCTATGTATATATTGTTAAATTCATTCTTATATATTGTCCGCACTTTTTATATTGTTACCTATTGTAAATTGTAACTTGAAATTCTTAGTTTACTCTTGTTAGCACAGTCTTCGGTCAGGGTTCATTTCACTACAAGTTGTACTTGTTATAACTATGTATGTGACGAATAAAGAATCTTGAATCTTGAATGTAACCACATGCTCTTTAACATTAAATGATGGTTCATGTTTAATGACTTACAGCCATCCTCAGATGGTCATTCTGCTGCATCCTCACCTACAGACGACCAGTACAGTCTGTCAGGCTCAACAGACTCAGCTCCTGCATTATTTTTAGTGTTATTTTAATGAGGACATCAGCTTTGGTTCATTTTTATCGTTTGCTGGGGTTTACAGTGAAACTTCCTGAAATGCTTCAGATTCACACGTATGTGTTTGTTACCAGAGGCAGAGGATCAAACCATGTTAATTACATCACAGTTAAGCTCTGCAATGGACAGGCACCTATGTAGATACTGTACAGTCCTGCCTGATGCCCCATGTCTGCTGAGATGCCCTCTACAGCAGGGGTCGGCAACTCTAGGCACGCGTGCTACAACTGGCACGCGGAGGAATTTCGGGTGGCACGCTGACGATGATCACAATAGAGACCTGCACTCCCGCGGGACCCAACGCACCGAGTGCGGCGCGGGACAAGATTTGATGGGTGAATGCGGGTGCGGGCGGTAAGGTCCTCATGTATGTGCGGGTTGCGGGAGAATAGA